AGGAGCGCAGGGAGCTGGGGGGGGCGGAGGCCGGAGAGTCGGGGGGAGCGGGGGCCGGAGGGCAGCATTCTTGCAGGGGCCAGCCACGGGGTAACCCCCACACAATGATGGAGGTCAGCTCACCATGGGGATGTAATAGAGGGCTACTACATAGACTATAGTCTACATCCCCAATCCTGGCCGTTCCTATGATATGCATACTACCTCCCACCGCACCTAGACTATTTCTTCTTCTGCTCCCTTGGCCCCGCTGAAAATTCTTGTATGATAGCATTTTGGTCCTTCCGGGTCAATAGTGCGTGATTCGGTCCGTCCCCGCTCGGGGCACAAACATCATAATTTCTTCGTTCAATCTTAGCTGCATACGGAGCCCGTCCCGCTTTTCCAGGCAGCCAAAAAAGCCCGATCGCATCATTTCCTGCTGACCAATCACGGCAATCCTTACCACCCGTCCAATCTGGATATTGCGGGGCCTTCAGCTGGGTGCCACTCTTCCCCACTCCGACGGTGCAAAACAATCTCCAGTGAACAAAACAAATACTAGTCTACACCCCCCTCCGCTCTATCTAGACTTAAGCGGGTTGGCGCTGTTGGCAAAGCGCTGTAAAACACGCCACCCCAAATATAGCCCCCATAGTATGCGCTACCAAAGACGCGTGGCGCATGGACGAGTGGAGTGAGGATAGCTGTTTACGGAAACCTCACAGGTTGAGTGATGCATGTAAGTAGGAGATTGCCGGACACAGACGTGTTGAGTGATTATAGCTGTAGACTTTACTGAAACCTCAAGGGTTGAGTGAGGTTTGAGATTGCCAGACACACGGACGGGTTGAGCGGTGATAGCTGCATACTGAAACCCCACGGGTTGAGTGAAGCTGGAATGCCGGACACATAGACGCGTTGAATGAGGATAGACACATACTGAACCTCACAGACAGGTGATTTGTGACGGAGATTGCCGGACACATAGACGTGTTGAGTTAGGATCGCTGCATAATGAAACCTCAGATGCATTGGTTACTGAGTTTGCCAGACACATAAGACGCGTTGAGTGGGGATAGCTGGATACTTTTATTTTTGAAACCTCAGATGGATTGGTTTTTGAGTTTGTCATACACATAGACTAGACGCGCTGAGTGGAGATAGCTACATACTGAAACCTCACGAGTTGAGTGATGTTGGATAGTGCCAGACACATGGACGCTTTGAGTGATAGACACATCCTGAAACCTCACGAGTTGAGTGACGTTTGCGATTGCCGGACACATAGACGCATTGAGTGAAGAAAGCTGCATACTGAAACCTCACAGGTTGATTTGTATTGGAGATTGCCGGACACATAGACGCGTTGAGCGAGGAAACGTGTGTACTGAAAATCCACTGTAGCAATAGTGAGGGGACAGTTCGAGAATGCAGTGCACATAGACCCGAACCCCAACCCGTACCCGAACCCCCCCTGAACAATTGAGGCCATGCGCCCCCCCCCCCC